TGCACCCTCTTGTGATACTGTGATTCGCAGTTTTCATGATGTTTTGCCGTTGCATTCACGTTTGAGGTTTCTAGAAATGTATCTGTTAATTATTTTTGTTTTTTCATGAAATCTTGTGTTGCAAAATTAATTTATCCTAAAAGTCGTGAAGCTACATGTACTGCTCAGGATCGATCTCTGATGCATGCTGTGGCCTATCTCGGTTGATTTGCAAATGCAATATGTTCGGTAAGTTTTATGCACAAAATATTGGGAGCCAAGGACGATGTTCGGTACAGCCGAATGTCCGGTATAGCAGTGTTCGGTATAGCGACGTTCCACTGTATATATAAATTTTTTATTTTTCATTTTTTTTTTTGAAAATTTTAATTTGTTTTTTTAAATTTTAAAAAAATTTGTGCGTAATTTTATGCTTTCGTACTTCTTTTTTTGTAAGTTAAAGGTAATTTTAGAGTTTTGTTCCCTAATCCTAAACGTTTTATATTGTGTAAGTAGATAGAACAAGCTCCTGCAGTTTTAATGCAACAAATGATTTATGTTTTTTTTAATACATATAAATTTAAATGTGTCCACTTTTATGTACATGTAAGTTCAAATGCAATTCGGCCTAGTGCCGTGAGATTTGAATGTTTTAAATAAACCATTATGAATGAATGAATGAATGCTGTGTTGATAAATTAGGGTGAAGTTTTGACAGTGGAATGGGATCAGCCTCAGCCAGTAAAACAAAGTATTGACAGTCAAAAAGGATAAGCCTCAGCCAGTAAGTTGCAGTAACATGAGGGGCAACAGCCCCAGCCATTTGATGATTCCGCTTGTAAAATGAAGGGGAATGACCCATCTTCAAATCATGCCAGTCGGCGATGGATATCACGGGAAAGGCTCAACTTCTAAGGAAAAGGAAAAGCAGATTAACGGGGGACTAAGAGTCAAACTTTTGATGGGCGTTTGCATGCGAATAATGTTTATTCATTTTAGGCCATGATGCTCCTGCTTTTGTTTTCATTGATTCATAATTACTAATTTACACACATTGTTGGGTTTTAAATTATTTTCCAAGAATTTGCTACCTTTTATGTCCTATTCTGCCAGGCCCCTTGTACGAGTATAGGAATACCTGTACATGTATGTAAATGTGACTTGAATTGAAGATAAGAAGGAGTCATATGATGAGTAGGTTTGTTTTGGAGGTGGGGGTTTGTAGAAGAAACCTCATGATTTGGTTTTAAGATATTGTGTAAAGGAAAAATCCAGGCATCTGGGGCAAGGTATAAAGGTTAATAAATATATACCCATTGATTTTGGTTTTGGGAGT